ATATATATATATATATATATATATATATATATATATATATATACCCCTTTTTTCACTTTCTAATCATCTCATAAGATGTTACTGTAGTTGGGAAAGAAATAAAGAAAAAAAAAAAAACAAGTAAAAACAACATTTCGAAAGGAAATTGTACATTGCTGATAATAATGACTTTTTTCTACTACTATTTTAAACTACCTACAGTTATTACTACGTACGATACAACCAATTATTAAAACACCGATTAATATTTCAGCTTGCATATTTTGTATCAAAATTTGAATGAGAAAATCGATGCAACAAATAAAGAAATATCTGGCTTGATCTGCATTTCAATAAATTGTGTATTTAAAGGAAGAGGCATTAGAAATGTAATATAAGAAGACACAGTATACTGAAATTGAAATCATACAAATTAATAAGTTGAAAAATGTTGAATTACAAAGTATATAATTTCTTAGCTTCAGTATCAATTACATCTACATAGATACATTATTTGATATTTCTTTTATTTTTAATTTCTGAATTATTTATATTTTTCATATCACATAGCTAGTAAATATTAATTACTGAATTATAAGTATATAATTTTGTAGCTTCAGTATTATTTTCATCTATAGATACTTTTATTGATATTTCTTGCTTTCTGAATTACATATTTTTCATATCACATGCTGTAGCTAGTGAATATTAATTCAGAATGGAACAACAATACATATGTGATACTACAGTTTATATCAACTCCTATGCAATTAGTGTAAAGGTTGGAGGGCAATCGGTTGTACTCATTTAAAAAAATTGTGTGTGCACAAGAAAACAATATAGAGGAAGTTAAAACTTAAAACTGAAATATTGATTAAAATTGAAAATATGGACACAAAAAAAACAAAAACAAAAAACATTCTGTTAATACATGTATACAGTGTTCGTAAGTAATTAGAAAGAGAAAACAAAAATTACAGTTTTAAATTACAGATCTTTCAGACTATTTACCAAAATAAACAGCACAAATAGACCTTTCCGCCAAGCCCCACCCTTTTTGGATATTTCTGATAAGGTCCCACAAAAGCGACAGTGTAAAAACATATGCAAACAGGTGTGTTTGTGGAACAACACGTCTCTGTATGATATGTGCATAGTGCTCGCCCTGTTCTGATTGGTCAGTTGATAAGATTGATTGATACTCTGTGAAGGTCTATTTGGGGGCATGTGGCACAGCGTGTAAGGTGTTCTGACTTCTGATCGCGGGATCTTCAGTTCGAGACTGATGCTCGTCGTATTGCTTGTGTCCTTAGGTAAGATACTTTACCTACATTTGCCTCTGTCTACCCAAGTGGGTACCTGGTAGGTTCAAACACAAAAATGTGCTGTTTACTAGCTGCAATATTATGGAATTCTCCCCATGGAGCTGAGTATGTGTTCCATACGTGTTTGATCCAATGACCGGGGTAATAATGTGAAGTGCTTAAAGGTAAAGGCGTGTCGCCTAATAAAAAAACCGACATATTATTATTATTATTATTATTATTATTATTTACTAGCTCTGATTTAAAGTTCTTGCAAAGTTAAAACAATTTATCGTCTGTTTATTGGTGGGAGAAAGTCACTGACAGTTAAAAAAGCAGGAGGAAAAAATTTACATTTAATTTCTCATGTCTTTTTTTTAAGACACTGAACCTAAAACACACTTTTAAATCATAATGTAGATTAGCATTCATTTTAAATGTGCATAAATAAATTCTCCATGTGCTAATTAGAGGAAAAAGGGGATTAAAAAGTATTGGTTTTCAAGCTGCTGTAAAAGAAGATGTAATGCAACTTACAAACACGTCAATGGACAAAGTAACATGAACATAACCTGAGAGTATTTGAACTTTTTGAAATACAATTCTTTCTAAGCAATTTGCTAAAATATTATTAAAAAGGTATAATTGACATTTCAGACACGAAAAAAAATAATTAATATTTTTGCCCTTTTAATGTTCCAGAAAATATTATATAATTGCAATGCAGATTGGTTACTAGATAATATGTACCATACTATATTATATTCTAAAGTGTGTTGTCCATTCTTATTTACTTTGGTTGCTGTTAATTATCTATCAAATAAAGTTTGCGATATTGTTTTATTATCTTTAAATTAATTTTCCAAAATTTGTGTTTCAATGATTTCTACTTACATGACATCTTTAATAAATATTTACATACACTGTAGTAAATAATGTTTACATAGTTGGCATCTCTGCTAAAACATAAGCCAAGCATACTTTAATCTCCAATTAAATTTAGTCGGTCCAATTAAATCTAAATATGAGTATTCGATCTTGTAACATCAACATTTATATTCAACATGCATCTAATTTCACCAGATAAAGTCAAATTATATTCTTTT